GCAAGAGCCTGGAAGTTCCCTGAAGTTTCCCTGTAGGGAAACAGGCTGGGGCCTGTAGGCCCTGTCAGAAGGAAGCTTCCAGGAAAGAGCCTGGAAGTTTCCCTGTAGGGAAACAGGCTGGAGGTCCGGGACGGGCCCTGCAGGGCCTGTGTAGCTGCAAAGTATGCCACACTCTCCCAGCCAAAAGTCTTCAGCCACGCGTGCAACTTGGGTGCATTCCCAAGCTTTCCGGCTCTCACATAGTTAACATGCTCATTCCAACGAATAATAAAACTCCTCGTGGTGCATCCTACGTAGAAATGTCTACACCACGGGCTCACGATCACGTATACTCCATTTTCCCTCGTGGTCAGCCCATCTGTTTCTTTGTCAATCAAATTAACCCACTTTTTCGCCCAACAGCAGTACCCACTAATTACTACCAAAAGGAACATCCTTAGGATTCCATCTTCCCTGCTCACTTCTAGTGTTGCCCCACTATTATCCTTCTTCCTTCCCCTGTCCTTCATCAGCATCCTAAGTGTCTCAAGGCGATCCATCGTCTCTCTCACCTTTCATCGATGTGTACGTTATCACTGCTTTCGCCATATGTCAACCTGGTTCTGCACCTTACCAGTTCATTAACCGCCAAATCTTTCTTCGTCCATTCAATGCCCTCTTCATTGCAAATCTTCCGCAGCTCCGGAACTTTCTTCGCCGAAAGCTTCTGGTGCATCTCCAGCGCGAAGTTCAGCACTTCCCCATTCAACGCACCCCGATCTTCCCGCCCTCTCCGCACGGGAGGAGTATGCACGTCATCCTCCGGACGATCGTCAATCAGTATTGGAGACGCTCTATTGGTCTTAACTCTGAGATTCGGTACTCGTTTTTCTCCGTTCATCCTTCTCTTCCCTTTCCTTCGCTCAATGGCGTCAATGAGTCTCTCAGCCTCTTCCTTCACCTCTTCACTCTCATCATCCGACTCGTCCAGATAACTTCGAATCTCCCTTAACATTCGAGCTTTTGTAGTTGGAGATTTTTTCTTCCCCAGTGGTGGGGGATTATTACCCGTCTGTCGACTATGCTGACTCATCAGCCGTAGAAGCTTGGCTTCCAACTTCGCCTCTCTCGCCTCTGCTTCCCGCAGCCTATCTGCTTCCCTCCTTTCCTCTTCCTCCCTCCTCCTCCTTCCTTCCTCTTCCCTCACTTTCTTTTCCTCCTCCGCTTTTTGCCTCTGCATCTTCTTTCGAAAGTAGGCCTTCATCTCGTTCGTTTCATCATCGACTGCAGTTGTAACCGGTGGAGGAAGATACTGCTGGGCTGGTCTGCCTTGCCCGGCGGCCCAGCAATTTCTCGCATAATGCCCCGTCTTGCCGCATAAGTAACACGACACCTCCCCCGCTTGATTGGTACTCTGAAAAGTTGGCGATGGCGCCCCATACCCTGCTACGGGCGGCGCTCCCAAATATATGTTCGTCATAACTCACCTTCTCTGCTCTACTCTCCTCTCCAACCTCCTCCTTCTATATCTCTCGTTCCTGACCAAACACCCAATACTATGAATGCGCCCAAGCACAGATTCAAGCTCGCGTACCAACTCTTCTTTAGTACTCTCGTCTCTAAACTGTAGCGCTACAAATATCAATGGGGTTAAACTCGCCTCAATAATCTTTTGTACTTCTAACCACTGCCTTTCTAATTCTAGGACTCGAAAATTCCTATACGACATCCCTCCCAAGGTCCTCTAAACTCCCCACCTAACAGACACGTACAGCTCAAACTGCCACCTCCCGCCCTCTGATTTCCACCCAAACCCACGAATTGCGGCGAAGATACATACGAAACTCGTTACTACGCACCCAACCCGAATCGGCCTTTGCACGAAAGATCTTACTACTCAGTGTACTTGCCACATAGGGACGATCACGCCCTATGTATATTGAGTCCAGGATCTTCAACTTCCAGTTATCGCCTCCTTCGAACCTCTTCTGTAGATTCCGTCAAGCACTTCCTTCCATGTCGTCCGAGCTGACTTCAGCATCTCACGCCTCATAACCCCGAACCTCCACTCCGTGGAAGTTTCAGAGCTACAATCTTATCATACTTTGGCTTCGATCTGGTTCCAATCTGGTTCGTCCCGTAGCCACCGAGCAAATGTCACAACACGCCGGTTACCACACTAGTTGAGAATCAATGGAGGAAGAGAGATAGAAAACAAGAAGAAGAGGAACACTCGAAAAAGAACAGCATGTCAGTTCACACTCTTGGCCTGGTAACTCATACATACTCATAAAAAACATCATGAGGTACGATATGCTCTGCCTCGACGCGTTTCGTTGCCGGCGTACTCGGCAAACTCTCCAGGAGGCTGAAAAAAGGTACGTATTCTCATATGTATCACCTTCCTTTTATACTTCCCGTAGCTAACTTGTACGTGTCTTTCTACCCAACTCCTTCTCTCCTCTTCTGTCGTAGGTGTAATCCCTTCCTAATCTCTCCTGGTATACCCCAATCCCTCTTCTTCATTCCTACTGGACCGTACTCGTAGTGTTCTACCCGGAAGCCTTCCCGCTCTTCCTTCCTCCCTTCTGTCTCTTTCACCTCCGCCTCTGACATCCCCCATATTCCTACGTCTACCTTTCCCTCCATTCCCATCTTCTCGGAATGGCTATCCCCTGTGCGCCTACTATGGCGATACTCAAAAAACTCAGCGTCACTTACTAAGGTTACCATATATACCCTTCAGCGAGCCAAACAGTCGAGATCGTCTCGGTTATATTGGAAATCCCAGCGACTCCTTACTATTTTTGCCCTTGCTTTCTGCTACTTCCTCRGTACTGCTGAGCTTCTTACCTRTAAAACATACTTCCTCCCGAACAGTAGCAGAAAAACAGCCCGACATACTCCGAAAAATGTCGATGGAAAAMAATYCGCGTACWCCTTGATTCGAAAAACCGACTGAGCAACCATCTAGAAATCGAGAAAAAATAGATAAATAAATAAGCCGAAAAAGTCCGAAAAACAGTCGAAAAAAAMCCTGACAAACATCTGAAGAGGAACCGACAGCAAAAAMGACAGCAAAAACGAAAAAATAAAAAAATAAAAAAACAGAAGAAACGACATGGGGAACCGTTCAGCCCTGGTCCCCGATGGTCCTACAATCTGGTCCGCAAAAAACCACATACCCCGGTTTCAGACARTCCKAGGTTCAGCGACCAGTACTCGTGGGTTATATTCTTGCCTCTATCTTATCTCCCTATTGTACAATACTCCCATTTTTTCCTCTTCTTTTTCTACCTCCATAAACACACCCCGTCATGCATCTTCTGGTATGTCTCCATCATTGGCAAGGCATATATCGTACCATTCCGGGGTACATCCTGGAGAGATGATCTCCCCAGGGACTCCCGGAGAACTTAGCAAATTTAGCTAAGGCTGCGAGAGAGAGAGAGAGAGAGAGAGAGAGAGAGAGAGAGAGAGGACCTCCCTTGCCCCTCTCTAACCCCGCACGTCCCCGCTCCTGCTCTCATCACACCATCACCCACATTCCACACCCCAAATCTGGCCAGCCGGATCTTCCACCTTGGACCAACCTAAGGGACAACCCCGCACAGAACTCTTACACCCAAACCTAAGGGACAACCCCGCCCAGAACTCTTACACCCATTATGCATGTATTAGGGCGTCGCCGGACGGGACACGAAACTAAAAACGAAACGAGTGCATCTTCCTGCAGAAAGTGCCCAGGTTCATCGTTTTGCTATAGATAGTAACGAGTGTATTTTGCCAGCTTTCGTGGGCAGATGCACT